ACAGACTACAGTTGGAGGTTCTCTATGCCTCCATATCAACCCATCTCTACTCTTCATCGGTAACGCATCCCTTCGAAGCTGCTTGCACGCTCTTGATGTACTGAAAATAAAGAAAAACCCGCTATGTTCAATTGGATGCTGCAAACTTCGGAAAAAATGTATACTGTAATGAACATTCCGCATACCTTGTAAAGAACACCTCGTTCAGCCTTATAAGGTGGGGGAGTCCACTTCTTTCTGCGTTCATTTAATTCCTCGTCAGTTAAACGCACATCCATTCTTCTCTTCTCAATATCTATGGTGATTACGTCTCCATTTTCGATAAGAGCAATTGGACCACCTTCCTGAAATTTGTAATTCATTTTAGAGTGAACACAATACTTCATTAGATAGCCAAAGCGTACATAATTGGAGCGTACCCCAGGAAAATAATTTTAACACAAATAACAAGAAGGAATCCCAGATCATTTGCTGCCAATACAAAAGCTGAACCCGAAAAGAGAATAACCAACCAATAAACCCGTTACAACACAAGCAAGACACTAGCCAGTCACCAGAAAATTAGACAAGCACTAAATTTTGGCTGCCCAAGTCAGTTAAGCCGGCAATATAGACAATTCCAAAGATTAAATGCACTATTTGGTCAAAGATCTTTGATCATATTGAAATCTCAAGAGCGAGGAAAATTTCAAATCTCGGCATCATTTACATATGAACTATGAATTTGATCATATTCAACCAAATAGCCTTGGATGAGATTATTTGAATGTGGTGATTTGCCCATTTATAAAATCAAGAACTTATATCATAAATGCCTCCCTAGGATAAAACTGACATCCTACCGGTGTCGGTGAGTCGTATCGGACAGACACTTTTTGAAAAAGTCAGATGGCGTATCCTAGTTGGTGCATCCATTTTTTTATTTTTTATTTGGTTTTGTACAATTTGACAAGTCGACAACATTTTGTCGACGTACAAAGGATACATGTCTGAGACGCATCGTGTCAGTACTTATTTGAAAAGTTGTGTCTGCATGCCAATGTCGTGTCAGCGCTTCCTATAGATGCCTCCAAATAAACCCCAGCATTTCATATCCAATTTTATTAGAGAAAACATTTGATTCATTCACTATGGTGATACACCAAAATCTCACGAGAAGATACACACAACAATCTGGTGATACATGGACAATTATAAAAGTGACAAAAGTTGTACGATGAATAGCTGATCGTATAGAGGTCAACCAACCTGTGCCTCAGGGGATATGTGGCCTACGACATATCCGTGTGAGCCTCCAGAAAATCGTCCATCAGTCAGCAAAGCAACCTCCTGCATGCCGATGAAATATACAAAATAATTTTATTTTCATTTTTTTGGCAAAAAGATGCCGACTTAAACCAATGAAACATAAATTGGAAAGCCATTGCAAGAGATAATATCTTAATATACAGCATTTATCTAGAAACATCACACACATCATATAGAAAGAAAAGATTATTGGATAAAAATAAGAAACAAAAGAAATATTACAACTAAGAACCTAAACTGGAACATACATACCTTTCCAAGACCTGCCCCCATTATTGCACTGGTTGGGGTCAACATTTCAGGCATGCCTGGTCCCCCTTTGGGCCCCTCTCCTCTAATAACGACAACTTTTCCCTAAAACATGACAACTGTTAAGTCAAAGGAACATTCATACTGATTCTATTTAAATTCAACAAAAAAATATATATATATATATATTCAAAACGTAAGCTCAACGTAGAATTTGGTATTGTGAAACACGAAACCAAGAAAAGGAAACCTCGCTTCTCAGATTATACAGCCAACTAGAATATTAAATATAAAGAGGGTATTATACTTGAGAAAGAAAGTGAGTAAGAGCATTGATCTTTTTGTCCTTTTAATAAGCAGACAGAACAGGTTTTGCAAAATATCATTTCCTGAGTAGCAGTATATCCATCCAGAAATTATTCTCCCTAATTTGCACAAATTTCACATTTTCCAAATCTCAAGCGCTCTAGCACTCAAAGTATATAAAACTTCTAAACTATGTTAAGAATAACATAAAAAAGAAACAAGCTAGGCGCAGGAGATCAAGATAGAGATATATATAAGAATAAAGATAGATTTTTAGATATGAAGTTAAATTAGAGTTTGATTCAAGTTAGATTAAATGATTTAATATTTTTAAATTCTAGACTAGTAGAAATTCTTTGATTTTAGTTTCTTGTTCTATAAATAAAGAGTTTATTCAGTGTAATAGTTAAAGCTTGATTATATGAATAAAAATTGATTTTCTTTGCCTTCAATTCTTCTCTTATTTGCACCCCTTTCTCTTCTGATTTTTAATTGTTCGTTGTCAAATATATGCTCCTACATCACTAGGGGATGGGAGGGGAGGGGAAACTAGGTAAGGGATATTCCTATCCCTTTTGCGAGGAAAACATTCATAAAAGGGGAGGAAATTTTGGTATTGTGAATAATCATAAACTCCTTGCCAAATTTGACATCTAATGCCTTTCACCTTTGAGTTGAAAGTGATGGACAGAAAACTTAGGCATGGAACAACCGCAACTAAGTTCTCCATGAAAGTAAAGATGAAGAGGAAATAGAGTGTTACATTACTAATTATAAAAGGCCAAGTAGACAAGCTTCCAAAGAAAGGAAGTCCACTAAGTTCCATAATGATGATTACTAACACATAATTTTTCTATTCTCAAATGAGAAAACTCATTCATCAGAAGTACACATTTTCCATATCAGAAGCTAATCCCTAGGATAATTAAGGGAAGAATGCATGATTTAAATTTACTGGGTATAGTGGGATATTCATTATATGACAGACTGATCTGATTTCCATTTCAAATTATCATCGTTACCATGTATCGGTGCAGCCAATACAAAATTACAGATGGAGAGAAGGAGGTGATTAGTCTCACCTTAAAACTCTGAGGATTTTCTGAGATAGCTGCAATCATAGATTCTTCTCCTTCAAAGACAAGTGCGGGACCTATTAAATAAAATTTTCACAATCATTATACACTAAATATTGCGGATAAGTTTAAAGACAGAATAATCTGAACTACAAACAAAAATCCATCAAGTGAAACACATCACCAGAGAAATATAACCCTTCTTTCCCCGTGATCTTTGCCACGGAACCCTCTGGTGCAAGATTTCCATATAAGATCTGAATGTGGCCCGTTTCCTTGATGGGGTTCGTCAATGGTCTTATTATTTGCTGGAAATAAAAGACAAATGACGGCATTTACTCTTGCCTCAAATGCATACATTAGCAAGTAAAATTAAACTTCTTTTACACCAACACAGTGAGATTGGCTAGGCAGAGCAAGCCTACCTGACCTTCAGGAAAGGATGGATATAGTTTGGCATTCTCAGCCAAAGTCTGTCCCGTAACTACAGAAAAGGTAAGTATTAGAGCTAGCCTTCAGGCAAGGAAATATATAAATTCACATTCTTGAAAAAAATTTCAGGGTACTTGCCTGTAATACAATCTCCATCTAAAAACCCAAGCTCCAATAAATGCCTAATGATTGCAGGAGTACCTCCAATCTATAATATGAACATTTAAAAAACTTGAGCAAAATATATGGTGAATGATGACTCGCAAATTTATATGGAACTATGATCGTAGAGAAAACAAACACCAGGGGATACCTTGTGTAAGTCCTCCATTACATATTTGCCACTAGGCTTCAGATCTGCAAGGAATGGAACCTCATCGCTGACCTTTTGGAAATCATCAAGCGTTAACTGCAAACCAACAGACCTGCCAAAATTCTCTCTGAGCCACTTATACAATCATGGTTATAGTGAGAATCCCAAACAACATATAACTGACCTTGCAATAGCAATTAAATGTAAAACAGCATTGGTAGAACCACCAAGTGCCATGACCATAACCATCGCATTGCGTAGGGATTTTGGAGTGATAATGTCTCGAGGTTTCAAGTCCATCTTAATTAAATCTAGCAGATGCTTCCCGGCTAGGCGGCACTCATCCAGTTTCAAAGGGTCTTCAGCAGGCGTAGAGGAACTTTTTGGTAACAAAAAATTAAAGATGATTTCAATTATCAATGTCAGAGATCAATCAACTGGTTCAACAACTATGTAATCGTATGCTTCTACCTGTAAGGAAGAGACATTCCCATTGTCTCGATGGCAGAAGCCATAGTATTTGCAGTATACATTCCACCACATGCCCCTGCTCCAGGGCATGAGTTACGAACTACGTTCATTCTTTCTTCGTCATTGATTGAACCACTCACATACTCTCCATAAACCTACATATTACAAAATTCCGATAATTAGTTTCCATGACCATTGAAACTAGTAACCTACCAAAAGGGATAACAAGAGCAACTCTGACAGCAGAAAACAGAAACAGATACCACAAAATAAATAAACATCCAAGTTCAAGAATTTCTGCATATTATAACTTTTCATGAACAAATTCTTCATTTTTGAGTCGATGAACATTTCAATGCTCAGAACTTCTCAAATGAAGCTAAGAAATTTCACACAAAGTATTCTATTTTAGGAAATTCTATAAAATCCAAGATATGACAGTCTCCAAGTCACATAATATATTATGGCCTTGTTTGAGCCNTTATTAGACCTTGTTTGAGCCACCTTATTGTAGAATGAGAATGAAAAATATAGCCGTTATTGGGGCCCACACAAGAGATAGAAAATTTGAATTTAAATGTTGATGTGATGGATAACGGTCATATTTTTCATTTTAATGAGAAAATAAGGTGGCTCAAACGGGGCTTATAATACAAACATTAAATTATAGATATACTAAGTTACCACTACTAATATAAAATGCTTTTAAATTATATTGATTGTAGACAGTAGCGGAGCCACGTGGTGTCTTGGACCCCACAAAATTTGGGAATTTCTTTTTTCTGTTTTACTTTTCTCCAAAACTAACGTTTGCCACTGTTCAACTCACCGATGCCGATGGCAACCAGATATGTTTAGCCACCTCTTTTCTCACCTCTCAAGCCTCAACCCACACCTATGTTGTTTTCAAAAAAAAATTACAACTTACTTGACCACAGAATGGAAAATGTCTAGATCCACCATTGATTGCAGAAGAACTAGATTCGTCAGTCTTGGTATGTTGAAACTTGAATGAAGTCGGTTCCTCAAGAATTTTATAAATTATAAAAGATGATAATTACAACATATTGATGATTAGAGTGTTGAATGTACTTCCAAACACCAGTACATGATTGCAACCAATGAGCAAAATTATTGGTAAACAATATTCTCATCCATGCACATACCTGGAAGGCAGATATAATGTCATATGTGTGACCTCCAAAATGACCAGGCTGCACATGAGACCAACATCACAAAGAATCAGTACTAGTCTCCTCAGAGGCAAAATCTTGTAAGACACATACAAATGTCTTCCATTCACTGTTGCTGTGAAAAAATAGCACTGCCTGTCTCAAAAATTTTTGCTACACAATCACCAGTTATAGGTGTGTATATGATGTAAATGCTTATGTGCAGTCAAAATCAATAAAATTGCCTGAACACACCTGTTTCAAACTATTACTCAATTTGAGTGAAAATGGATGTTTGCAGGAAAAAAAAAATTGGAAGTATATATGATTCCATGTGAATAAACATAATTTTGTACACATGAAATACAAAAGCACAGTTGGTATGTAGATAATTTTCACCAGATCCTAGAATGTCAAATTATTTTCTATTTGTAAATAATATAAAAGGTGAATCAGCCTCAGGAAAAGCACCATCAAGATTAAACATGTGTTGGATAGAAAACTAATTTCACGCAGATCGCTGACAAGCCCACAAAATTTCTTGTTAGTGGAATTTCACTTATTTAAAGTGCAGAAATTTTCAGAATAAGTTTACCCACCTACACATGTTTGGATAACAACAATAGATGTATCTGAAATGTACTAACTTGTTTTTTAAAAAATATGATATGAAAGAAGAGAGTAGGTAATCAGAGCAACCCTGGTCTAACCTTAATAGTTCCACCGTAAACCATGATACTCGGCCGATTAAGTCGTCCCATTGCCATAATGGTGCCTGGCATCTGCAATTATACAAGTAATTTGCAACATTTGAGGACCTTAACAGAAGTAACACCATGACACAACTTTACCAAGGAAATTTATTGAAATGAAGGAAAGGGAATGTAGCACTATTGACTATTAGAAACCAAATACGCTAAAGAATGTATTTCATCAACAGAAAGAGGAATTGTGTACATATATATACTTCTTCAAAGAGAAAGAACAAGAGTGCATTCCTTTCAAAGATCCTTCATTAGTTAAATGTAGAATTGCAGAATACGGCAAATTGAACAATTTAATGTGAAATAGCAATGCATACAATTTCCATGGATAGCCCCTTCTCCTTCATGTCTCCAGGTAAGAATACTTGTGTGTATAAACTTAAATTCACAAGGGAAGCAACCAGCAAGGACATTACTCGTCCTCATGTTATAACATCGAAATTGAAGCCTGAAAATCCTTTTTTCACAGTTGTCAAACTCACCAAAAAACTCTATCGAACTCTTCTGTTTAACTCTTCCCATTGCATTTCCCAAAATTAAATCACCTATTTTTATTGGTGACTAAATGTTCCGTGCACTACATTCAGAACAAGAGCTTTTTCTTTCTTTGAAAGCCAGACGGCAAAGAATGTGACCATCAAAAGCCACAAATGCTTGTTACTGATAACCATGTACGTCTATATGAAAAATTAAATACATATGCAGAAATACACCCCAAAAAGCTCACATACTGTTACAATAAAAAATGTAATATTTTACCAAAATGAGCGATGCTTCAACATTTCCCCAAAAGGACTCAATTTGTAACTTGAATGACAAACACAAAAATAAAAGTAAAATGAGTTAGCCAGAGCATGATAGAGGGGCATTACATTTTTGTCACAACCAGGGATGGAAATATTCCCATCATACCACTGAGCAGCCATGACAGTCTCAATGCTATCAGCAATCAAATCCCTTGACTGCAAACTATAGCACATGCCTCTGGTCCCCATTGAAATAGCATCACTAACACCAATGGTGTTGAATCTGAATCCCACCATTCCAGCCTCTCTAACACCTTCCCTAACCGCCTCTGCAAGCTTCAACAAATGCATATTACAAGTATTCCCCTCATACCACACTGAGGAAATGCCCACTTGGGGCTTATGCATGTCATCATCGGAGAGACCCACACCGTAAAGAATGGCCTGTGACCCCCCTTGAGACTTGGGTTCAGTGATTCTTGAGCTGTATTTGTTGAGTTTGGTGGCGGTGGAGCTTTGGTTTGGTGGTGCAGCAGGCGATGTGGTGGTGGTGGAGGAGGAGGCACGGATGGTGAAGGCGGGGGTAGTTTTGAGGTAGGGTGCATATGGGGGGAAGTGGGTTTTGAGGATGGTGTGAGGTATTGGTGGCGGGGACAGTAAG